TAGCCACACCCCTTCTCCACTGTCCTCTGCCACTTGTTGTTCAGCTGCTGATGAGGGGTGAGGTGGGACCTAATTCCCTAAATAAATCCAAGTTTTTCAGATTATCATCATGGTAACAGAGGTAGCAGACAGATCACCCCTGAAACCGCCTCCTTCTTGCTCCTGGAAACCCCAGGTTTATTTTCCTCTACCCTCAGGAAGGCTCCCAATATTTGAAGCTAGAGGAGGCAGTGTGCCTTCCCCTATGGTTTGGGGCTTCTCATCCAGGGATGGGGACCCTGAGGCCTCAAGGCCACATGTGGCCTTCCAGATCCCAAAGTGCGGGCCCTTGACCGAATCCAAACTTCACAGGACAAATCCCTTTATTAAAAGCATTTGTTCTGAAAAACTTGGATACAGTCAAAAGGCTCAAGGATCCAGAAGGCCTAATCTAAAATTTTAAATTGGGCTTTAACCTTTCCCACTTCCTCTTAGTCTTTCCTGACATAATGCAAATGTAGATGTGCACCTGCAGACACTGCTGTCCCTAGGAAGAGCAGCACGTGGCAGAGGCTGCCAATTCCTCTATATGAAATGACACCACCAATGCCGCTAAACACAAGGATCCCCAGTCCCCATTGGTCTCTGAACGTTGTGGTGATTTTTCACACCTCTTGAGATCCATTCTTTCTGCAGCCATGTTTGAACACTGAAAAGATACATTAACTTCCAGGCTAGAAAGTCACTTATTTTTAAGAAACGTATTGCTACATATCCAGCGTGCAAAACGAGAGCAAATTGAGGTATATTGAAGATACTGGCAGAGAAGAGAGCTCCCAGCTGTGGGAAAGGGAAAGGGAAAAAATACGGGATGTCTTCGTCTAGGCGGTGACACTTGAGCCCCGATTGTCACCAGGATGGAAATTACAGGCCGGGGTTGGGACAGAGAGAACAGCGCTGCCCTCCTGGTCCCCAGCTCCTCCCCACCTCCAGTTGCCACCCCCCAGGAAAAGTACCCCCCTCTCCCCCAGGTGCCAGCAGAAGTGACTACTTTGTCCTCAGGATGCCCACCCCTCTCTAATGACACTGAATCACTCCTGAGCACGGAGTCCCATCGCGACTCAGTAAATCCCCTCGTTTCACGGGGTGAGGGAGCGGGTCTGAGTCCTGGGAAGGTTGTGTGGCCGCCTAAGATGGCCTAACGCGGTATTAGGGAAAATAGTGCCTAAAAATCCAAACAGTTCAATCCAGAGCGGGAAGATTCGGGGAGAATAGTTAATACTGAGAGAGACACAGGTGGGGACGCGGCGCCAGGGCTGAGCGCCGTCCGCCCCGCAGAGAACTACCTGTACCAGGAGCGGGCAGAGTGCTACGCGCGCAACGGGACGCAGCGCTACGTGTACAGACAGATCTACAACCGCGAGGAGTTCGTGCGCTTCGACAGCGACGTGGGCCTGTTCCAGCCGGTGACGCAGCTGGGGCGGCCGGACGCCGAGTACTGGAACGGGCAGAAGGACGTCCTGGAGCAGAAACGGGCCGAGGTGGACACGGTGTGCAGACACAACTACGAGGGGGAGAAGCCCATCGTGGAACAGCGCAGAGGTGAGTCCGCGGCCCGGGCTGGGGCAACCAGGGGAGGGGGGGACCCAGGCCCAGATGGCAGGGAGAGCCGGACCGCGTCAGGGGCCGTCAAGGGGAAAGGAAGGGGCCTTGAGGGCTGGGCATGATGGGGGCGCCAGGCCGGAGGCTTGTCCCGGAGCGAGGCCTGAGCTGGGCCGAGCACGGAATGCGGGGAGATGGAGGCAGACGGATCCTCAGGCCTGGCAGCCGACCGGGTGTGGGCTGAGGGGACCCAGGAGACAGGGACACGTGCAGGGCCGTGGTG